CTCTTCAGCTGGTGCTCCTGAAGCTCTTTATTCCTCATCAACCTCATCAACAAACAAAAAATTAAAAAAGACTTGTCAGCATATTTCCATGTGTATTTTTTTGTTGGTATTTCGGTTTATTTTAGCTTTAAATAACCTTAAAAAACTGGGAAAAAGTATTAAATTGGCTCAAAAAAGTGTTTTCTATATAAAAAAAGATCCAAAAAACGTTAGAACGAGAAATTATAAAAACTATATTCAAACTCAGGTCTGATGTATAAAAAATATAACTTAATTTTGTTTTAACACGCTGCGGTGTGGTTTGCCGGAAACTTGCTTGACTAAAATCTTTTTCTGTAATTAGTGAGCCTTACAAATAAAAAATATTTCAAGAGGGTAACATCTCCGCCACTTAACAAAACCACTCCGATAGTAAACAATTCCCAGCCTCCATTTAACATTAATTTAATTTCATTTTAAATGCACTTGAAACGATTAGGAAAATATTCGACCTTTCCGCAAACACTCGAGCGTTTTGTTCTGTTATCGTCGACATGAAATCATCGTAAATGTACAAAATGGTAACCCGAAAGGTACAGAAACGCGTAAAATGAAAATGACTTGGCCGAAATGGCATTGTTATTTGTGGGTTTGGCTGTTTACATTGATTGCCGGCCGAGATACAAAAGCGAGACCGAACGAGTTTCAGTGCCGCAGTACATAATGCATATATTTTCGACCTTTGTTCCTTTGTATCCTGTTGGCGATGCGAGGGATCCTACCTGAGAACCGGACTCAGCAGCTCGCCGAGAGGTCCATTGTGTCAGGTCAGGCATCAACTTTAATCCAATTAGTTAGACAATGCCCGTTGGGATTTGGTTTTGGTTCTCCGTACCGGGATCCCCCGTCTCGTGCGGATCGAGTTTTGTGGCTACGCCCACGTCAGTCTTCTAATCTCGGCCGCCATTTGTTGATGCACTTAATTAGGTGGGAGGAGGAGCTGGCAGGCCAACTATGAGTATTTGGCTTGAAGCCTTTCAATTGCCGCAGCTTTGGCACGTCTGCGCCCCGGTGATTATAGAAATATGTCGAGAATATTCTCGAAAATAAGCTTTGACTAACAAGGCGCACGTTGGCATCGTTAGGCCGGCCATGATCTGGAATTGGTTCAGTTGTTAATGGCCAGCACACACATAAACACACAAAGGACCCACCTCCTTCAGCGCCTCACAAACGCATTTCTAGTGGCCAGCGTGTTATATTGTTTATTGTAGATGGAGATGGAGAATGTAGGATCTACAACATTAATGGCTTGTGTGAAATACCAAAGATTGCCGCTGTAGCTGCTGGAAATTCCGGAAAATGCCTTGTTGTTGGTGTTTGATTTCAATGGAAGCAATCTAATGTCTTGATAGAAAGTTAGAATGTGATCGCCATTTAGTTCTCAGCCCAGTTAATCAATCTTGAGTGTACCAAATTTATAGATTGATCAAAGTGCTCTATATTATCTTGCTGGGACCTTTTAAAAACTTTCAAAGAAAAGAGCAGTGAAAGTAACCAAAATTCAGTTTAAAATCTTTGAGGTGAGTGGACCAGTGTGTTTTTATTAGAAATTTTAAAATGAAACAACAAGCTATGTTTTTTAAATGAATTTATAAAATATTTTGAGAAAAATATTCCCTTTTTAGAGAGAAAAATTGGACGAAAATTCGAAGCCCCTAGCTTCTTTTGAAGTATTTTCAAACAAAAAAACCAAAATTTATATCGCGCTTTGCATTTTGGACAGGGGCTTTACTCAAAATAACTGTTTTACCCATACTAAAAAAAGCAATAAATCTCTGCCCGATCTTTAAAAATTTAAAGTGAAGTGCTTTGCAAAAAAACTTTTTTAAAATCCACATCATATTTTAATGGCTTATGATATAACGAAAAATTTCCTAGGCTTCCCAAAAATCATTAAGAAGTTATCGCATTTTTCTACCCGATTGGGAGCTGCTAACCCCTTATGTCAGGGTCATAAAAACCGGAGGAGTATACTTTCGGCTGGAAGACGACATAAACTGAAGCGCTCACTACTTCCAGCAGCTTCCTTTCTCCTTCGCTGTTTTCCCCAAGAAAGCCGCATTTCTATTTCTGGGCTCCACACGCTACCTGCTACCCGGCGACTAGTTTTCCTTACCCACTGGAAAATCTCCTAGGCTAATTGCAGCTTCAACGCCTTTCAACACGCTGCGAATGCCGCTTTAATGGGCCCCCTCTCCCCCTGAGAATGCCCCGTGCTCATGGGTTTTCCCGCAAACGCTTCCTGCTTCTCTGAGTATGCAAACTATGTCATTGGGTCTTCTGGTATTTTTTTGGGGAATCGAGAAGTCGGGTCCCGAAGCCAAGTCAGATCAGACTTGGTTTTATTGTATTTTCTTGTTAGCTATTTACATTTTCAGCCGCTGCAATTTCCATTGAAAACTATTGCAGCTTCTTGGGAACTTGGGCACTCGTTAAAAATACCTCCTTTTAAATCTCCATCTCCCCATCTCCATTTTATCTTCGAACACCTTTTAACTTTCTAACTCTACCTCTAAAATGGAGGGGGGCGTGGCACCTGAACCGTGAGATTTATGCAAATTCTTCGCTACGCTGACTATCAATTGACTTTGTAATGCAACCTCGAGTTCACATAAGGTCGTCATAATGCTGCATGTTTTGCTGAATTTTACATACAAAGCACTCATTATACCGATTGATTAAAAAACGTAAGTGCAAAATTTGTAAAAATAAAAGGACTCGAATGTTGAATTACAGCTAAGCCATTTTTCTACTTTAACAAACGGGCTCGTCCCCTTTTGAAATGGAACTACACAGTACAGGTAGTATTAAGTGTTGAATTTATAGTTATACCTCCATTATTTAGGTGCTATTTCTTGGGGGAACATAATTGCACAACAATATTTCAAAGACTGGGACTATCATATAATAACTCAACTCACAACTTTCCTTAACAGAACAATACAACTTATATTATCATTATTATTGTTCTTCACATTTACCAAGGTATTTAAGCGTGCATGATTAACAACCCCAAAGTGGGGAATCGTACTGTCTTCGTTTGCCAAGCACTGACCTTTGACTACACGAACTTTTGGCTGGCCTTCAAAACAAAAGCCAACGACAAACAGATGTCATTTGGTGATGGCAAATATTTGAATGCTGACTGGATGGTCCCCCTTTCCATCTCTTTCTGTCAATCTGTCTCGCTCTGTTGCTATCTCTGTCTTTGACCCCGGGGGCAACCGGAAATTGCGATGCTCTTTAACTGGGGTTAGATACCCTTTTTTGTTTCTGGCTAGCGTTTCTGGCCTTGGGCCTTGGCAGTTTTATCTAGAGTCAATTTGCTTTTCCCCTCATTATCATCGGGCTAAGCGGCTTAGGGCATTGAGAAGTTTTTTACCCGAAAAAAAAAACAGTGGGAAAAGTGTCATAGATCAGCATTGTTGGTGGGCAAACTGTTTTCAATAATTACCAGGAAGTGGTTGTCAAGAAAGAGGGGATCTCTGACATGCAGAGGAGCTCATCTCAATTAGGGGATGACTTTGTTCTGTATTCGGTTTCTATTTCAAATTGAGTTAAACATCCTCCCTTTGATTTCTCCCTATCAATTTCAAATTTGATTTTTATGATTTCGGTGGCGTCGCATTTCCCATGCCATTTTTCGTTTGCGGTTCCCTGTGCCTCATTTGCATTTTGTATTGAATTCGATTTCGCTTTTTTCGGCAGCTGCTGCCCGTGTAATTCCCCTCGAAATCCGAATGGCAACTTAGGCAAATTGAATGCGGCAAATGTGAATTGGAATAAAAAAGTGTAGCAAAGTGAAACAAAGCTAATGCCAAGGGCAATGTGGAACAGCCAAGTATTGATGGAAAATTATTTTGCCAGCGATTTCATTGGCCACAAAGATAGCCCCCGATCCATTACAAAATAGGAGCCGCAGCTAATGGAACAGACTCCCATCCCCATTTACCTTTGGGTTTTCCCTTTCTGCCCGCCTGTCTGCGTGGATTCATTTTAATTAGCGGCTACAGCAAACATTTAATGAAAATGCAGTTGGCGCCTAGTCGTGAGAAAGGCGGCAACATTGCGCGGAAAAAAAAAAAAAAAAGCAAACAGGGAGAAAGTCAGCCATGAGCATCGAAGATGGAAATATTCTTTAAATCATTATTTTTGTTGTTATTACAATGTTTTCGTAGTTATAAAAAAGGCAAGAAATATGTATAAAAAATCATATTTAAAAATATTTCCGTACTTCATATTTATCCGAATGTTCCACATAAACTAAGACTTTTTATTTTTGGTTGACCTAATTGACTATCAAATGTGTACAAATCATAGTTTCAAATATTTCCGTACTTCATATTTATTCGAATGTTCCAGATAAACTAAATGTCTATCAAATTTTTTTGTTATACACACATAGTTTCAAATATTTCCGTACTTTATATTTATGCAAATAATTGTGATAAACTAAGAACCTTTTATTTTCATTTGACCTAATGCCTATTAGATTTTATTGTTTTAAAGTATTTAATCCTTGTAAGGTAATACAAAGTAGAGTAGAACAAAATCACCACAAAAGTTTCGGCAATGTAAACGGGAATGGGGTGGGGCATCATCGCCTGGGTGGGCTCCATCGAGTAGTGGCTGCCGCTGGCCCCACAGCTGTATGTGCAACATAATAATTTGTAAACATTTATCAATTATGCAGCAACAGCAGGAGCGGAGCAATAACAGCAATACCATCCACTCTTCCCCTGAAAAGCTTCCCCTCGCCTACGAACCGTGAAGTCTTCTAGCCGTGGCCAACTGGCCACATAAATTTCCACGCAGGCCGCTATCGCCACTCTGCGGGGACTCCCCCTCTAAAGAGTTTGCACTCGGCGAAATGCAGAGTACTCATCTAAAGCTGTTGATGGAACCATTAAACATTAAACGCCCTAAAACCACAATGCTTTTCTGATTTTCAAAAATTAAAATTGAACTGTTTTTGTCACTAGTTGTTTGTTAAAATTGGAACTAATAATGTTACAAGATAGTCTTTCATAATTTTATTTTTCTTGATTTGCCACCATCACCATACTCACAATATTTCTCTCAGTGTGGGTGAGCGGGGAGTTGTCCGAAGAGGGCAATGGTTGGCTGCGCATTCCAGAGGCGTTTTTCGGCTTTGACTTTGGCGGTTTTCTGGCTGGGCGTTGATTCGCCTGACCAAACATGCAATTAAGTGCAAGTGGGCAACACCTCTGCACCATCATCATGATATTCAATGGGGATGGCAGTGGGCAGGTGAATTCTGAGGATTATGATGCGTGCCCGCAGCCCGCCAGCTGGAATGCCCATGCCCCAGTGGAGTCCATCAATCATCCAGCGGGCCCACTTGCTGACAACAACCACTGCGAAAAGTGCACCGCACAATGGGAGGGTCATCATCAACGTGACCGAGACCTAATCCCAGGCATCTGGCAGAGCGGCAGGTGCCAAAATCCCAGGGTGCCGAGGTGCCAAGAGCTAGTCCCATGGTGTTGCAAGGACCCAACGATAGCTCTTCTTCACGCTGGTTGACAATGGAATGTCTGATCAAATTCCTGTAAATTACGGTGCGTGCTAATTACATAAAATTTGTAAGGGGAACAGTTTAAAAGTTCGGGTAAATCCCTGCATCAAGGAATTCTAAAAAATAAAACAATTAAAACTAGAGCCTTGGTGTTAAGAAACATGCTGCCTTCTAAAGGTAATAAAATTATACATTAAATACCCCTTAAGCTTTAACAAAAATAAGTTACTCAATATAAAGCGGGTATATACCTCGATTTATATGCCTTTATGTTAAAAAACAATGAATTTATGTCGACACATTTTTGATTTTCCGTATGATTTTTATAAAACTTAAAACGAGTTTTTAAAATCGTTTGAAATGCTACTGACCTAGGAAAATGTTTTAGAACAAGCACTATTAGAACGACTAGATTGCGTAGAAACGGATGGAATAAAACAGAATATATTTACTTTTACTGCATTGCTAACTTTTCGCAACACTTTACTATTATCTGCAGGGGTATATTAACTTTGATGTGCGGAAGCTAGCTTTCTTTTTTGCCCTAGTCTATTCAATCAAAAATTGTGTTAATTTATGCTTTACAGACAAATTAAGAAAAGAACTTACAGATATTTAAAATAATTTTGTTAATTCTTTTTGTATTTACTATTTTCGCTAAATTTTTTTTTCATTGACGTCTGTGCATTTTTTAAAACCATTCAAATAAGAATGTTGCAATTCAAAGAACCAACATGTGAAAAATAATGTCAGCGTTTAAGAAAATGAATTATTTTAAAACTATGCCAATTTGTGTATATGAGAATTGTTCAAAAATAACGCCGATATCAATATTTTTAAATAAGAATTGCAGGGCTTCCAGCAATTATTACCAAGTGCTTTCGAGATTTGTATGAGATCAAGCGTTGAGCTAAAGTTTAGCTGATTGCACTTTAATGGTTGCACCTACTTATCTGGTAAATTTTCCGATGCACATCAAAGACTTCTCCGAAAACCATTCAATCTTTCGATTTCCAGCTGCTCGGGAATGTTAATCTTTGTAAAGAACTAGTTCGGTGCAATAGAATTAGTTGAACAAACAATCAAAAAGAGCAATTTTCAGAAATGGGCTTAGTATGTGCATGGGTCACCTAAGCACAGTGGTTCGCCACAAACGCCAAACGTCTTTTTGTTAAGATATTCAAAAACGTTATAGTGCTACTTTAAAAAGATTTCTTTGTGCACCTTTATTCAAAAGAAAATTAATCTGCTTTGATTAGTTCCCACAAAAAGTGCTTTTAAACTACCTTTTACTACATTTTGTACAAATAAAAAAATATTAATAATTTTTCTCTTTGGGAAAAAATTAACTTCTAAAATCGATATGTACGGAAAAGATTCTTTTCAAAAAAACCAAAATGATTAATGTTTACTATTTTTTTTTCCAAAAATTTTATTTTATTTTGTTTATAAATGGACAGGTACATATAAAAAAATAATTTTATATAAAAAGTGGGATATTGAACTTAAAGTCTTAAAAAAATTAGCCTGCTCTTTTGTGCCTTTTCTGAGTAAATCGTCGTTAGTTAGTTAGTAAAGAAATGTTCACAATTCGATCATCACTAGCCCTGGTTCGATCACCCGCGTATTAAATTTGTATTCAACTTGCTCATTCGTGGCCCGCAAATAATGGATTGTGTATTTCTACCATGTTTGAGCTTCGAAAGGAAGCAAAAAATAAAGATTTCTGGTATTTTCGCGAACATATTTGTGAAAGTCTTGTCGAGAAGCTTAAATAGGGATGTTTTCAAAATTAGTCAAATGCTGAATTCGGATTAGGAATTTTTAAAAATATTTATTGCTCAGGAGTATGAATATGCTGTGTTCCAGCAGTAGTGATAAAGAAAAACCCACTGTGCCATATTGGCAGCATTTAGCAGATGCTGCTGCAACATGTTGCTAGTGGCCGCTGCACTCACACGTGCGCAGCGCTCTCTCGGCGCTCTCTTGCGGGGCCTTTGTTTATGTTGCTCCAGCCGGTCAGCTGTCTCTGTTTACCATCCACAAGGCAGCGTCAAGCGGGCGCAACAAATGTTGCAGGCTTTTTCCGACTGCAACATTTTCAACATTTTCAGCGGAACGCTCCGACTGCGGAGCATTCGACGGTCTGTCTGTCCAAAGACTCTGTACAGTGTATTGTAGAGACTTTGGTCTATCACTTTGCTCGCGGTTCGTTCGCCAGCGCAAGTGTCGTGTGTGCACCTGTGTGTATCTGTGAGTGCGTCTGTTGCGCACTTGTATCCGAATTTGTGTGGCGTAGCTTTGTGGATTGTGAAATGGCCAACAGGCGGCACGCGTGTTCCTGAGTTACCCCGCCCCCGAGATTTTCTTGAACTTGCTCCAAAAAATTACTTGGCATTTGGCAATCAATTGTTTGTCTAGCCGATTTCCTCTGCGGACGTGTGTTCGTGCTGTCTTGGCCTCCAATTAAAGCCAAATGATTCACAGAGCGGTTTTTTTCATTCACAAAAATGCGTGACACACTTTTCGGTTGGCCTATGATTTATGCCACGTTTGTCACATTAACAACAACCGCAAAATGTTTTGGACAAGCTAAGAAAATCTCCGCGATTCTTTGAAATATTTCCACATTTTTCAACAGCCAGTGGTGGGTCTTAGAAAATTACAAAAAGTGTAAAACAATTAATCACAGAACCTAAGGCATTAATTAAGGCAGTCGAAGTTAATATATATACTAAGAGAAAAGAATTGAACAAGAGGGAACTGAACGAAAGGAAATTAATTTGAAAAAAAAGCCAAAGGAAAAGTAATTGAACAAAATGCAGCTAAATACCCTGCGTCTTGCCTTGATGTTGCTGAATTTGTTACGGCTTGAGGCCCAGGCAAACGTCCACAATAATGGCCGGCAGAAGGTGTTGTCAGATGACTTCGGACCAGAACGTGATAAAAGTTCAGCCAGAACGCGGCATTTGCCGCAGGAGGACTTGCGGCTGAGACACGAGCAACATCGTCTGCGGCAGCAGCAACATCAGATGGCGTGGGAGCAGCAATTGCAACTGCAACTGCAACAGCATCTGCAAGAGCAGCAGTCGCAGAGCTGGCCAGTGCGTCATCATCAGCATAAATCTCAGCTAGTAGAACTGGCTGAGAAGCCCATTAGACAGACAGCGGGCTTCGCCGATGACAAGGCCAAGATTTTGGCTAAGCGCAGACTCCACTACAACGAGTACGATAACGAAGATCTCGAGTTGCACACCATTGAAACCGGCGATGAGAGGAGCTTCTCCCCGCGGCAATGGCAACAGATCGAGATTGCACATCGGCGGATGAAGGAGCAACATCAATTGCAATTGCTGGCGGAGCGACAACGGCAGCGACAACTACTGACAACGACAACAACGAAGCCCAATGACGCCAAATCGGAGGATAATGATGTGAGTGAATCCGAGGGGAGACGATTAAATGAGTTAGACACAAAGCAGGAAGTCAGTTGGGTACCAGGAATTGATTCTGGTGGATTTTGACATACCTTCGGTGTATCTGAAATTTCAGAAATTTACTTACAGTTTTGAGAAAAACTATTATCTTTTTTTTTTAGATGTACAAACTGATTGGTTTCTTGAGTCTCATTAACCAAAGGATGAACATTCGATTAAGTACTTAAACAACTAATTAAATAATCGCTTCGATGTTTTAAAACAAAGTACATTCTTACTATTTTGGAAACACGTTTTTATTTTAATGTGAACCATTCAGCTATGTTTAATAGCCATTACGTGCCATTTTATTTTTTTAAATTTACCATAGAACTCTACATAAAGTCATAAAGATTCGGACGACTATATTAAAGAGCTTGCGTAGGAACAATTTATCAATTTATTTGAAAACCTGAAAAACCGCTTTAAGTTAAAATGACTTGTTGAACTTTGCCAATTTAAAAACTTAAAACCTAATTATAAATATGAAGTAGTTATATATTTCCCTGATAACGACAAAGTGTTTAAATTCAGTTTTCCGAAGACAGGAAAATGGAAAATGTTTAAAAGTATAACAAATAGTCACAAGATAACATAAACAAAGTGGAATTTCAAAATTATTATTCACCTACAAAAAATATAACTGATTTAATTACAACAAATTAAAGCTAATTAATAGCAACAAACAATTTAAGATAAAATGCAAAATCAACATTCAAGATCAATCAACGGCTAACCATTGCTTTATTCATCCGATTTGAATTTCTATTTATTATAGTTATGCATGCAAAACAACAATTCCAATATAATCTGATTACTGAAAAATGTAATAAATCGTTTAGCTGACAGCTCTAGACAGGTTGACGTTTTGAAACTGCACTTAGAGTTTTGTATGAACTAACATTTTTACTAGTTTGGCTTTAGCCAAGGCATTTACACATTTTATTTCTACCATATAACTGCGATACAGATTCCTCAATTTAGTTTGTCTCAGTGCCCGCAGAGTTTGCCACTTGGCATACAAATTAATTTGTTTTAATTGTGACTGCTCGGCACGTTCCTTTCAGATCTCTGCGAGCTTATTAGGCTGTTTTTTGTGATTATTAATTGCTCTGGGTAATTGTTCAGATTCAATTGAGATTTATGCGATCGAACGTTACTGCAATGCAAAAGGTTTATCAAATAAAAGAGTGTTTATTGCCTATGAATGGAAACAGATATGGACTTCTTTTGAAAATTTTCAGTAGTTCGATACAAAGTTAAGCTCACAAATACCCTAGAGCTTATCTTAATTATTTGTTGCTTGTGCGGACTTAAATATGTTTCTCTGGATGCATTGAAAGATTTTAAAATATGATCATATGATATGATAAGATATTTTGAAGTGTATTACAACTATTATAAGTCGTAAAGTGAATACGAAACCAAATACTTCAGGAGATAGAGTGGTAAATTATTTTTCTTATATAGTACATGCCCTAATAAATTAAACATAATGCACTTCTCTAATCTGAACTGTAATTCATAGTTAATCCGTTATCTGCACACATAACAA